CAAATCCCAACCATTGACCCCAAATCCCAACCATTGACCCCAAATCCCAACCATTGACCCCAAATCCCAACCATTGACCCGTATCATGATTGTTGACCCAAATCTCAACCATTGACCCCCAATCTCTGCCCCGTTCAGTCCCTGTGGCTCCTCTGCCGCCCCTCTGGCTTCACATTCGGCAACTACACCATGCAGTGGGTGCGCCAGAGCCCCGGGAAGGGGCTGGAATGGCTCGCTGGGATCGAGAATGATGGTAGTTGGACTGGGTACGCGCCGTCAGTGAAGGGCCGGTTCAGCATGGCCAGGGACAATGGGCAGAGCTCGGTGACGCTGCAGATGAACAACCTCAGGGACGAGGATTCCGCCACCTATTTCTGTGCCAAGGGTTATGGTGCTGGTTGGGGTGCTGGTGGTAATGATTTCGACCCCCTGTGCGGGGTCCCCAAAGCTCCACCCCTCCCACCCAAATCTGAACCGATGATGACAAACGTCAAACGTTGAACCCAAATCTCGACCATTGACCCAAAATCTCAACTGCTAGCCCCAACCTTTACCTTTTGCAGAGTTTGGGGTCAAGGGTTGAGATTTTGGATCAGTGGTCAATATTTGGGGTCATTGGTTGTGATTTGGGGTCAGAGGTTTAAATTTTTGGTCAGTAGTTAAGATTTGGGATCAGTGATTGAGATTTGGGACAAAGAGTTGGGGTTTGGGGGCCAAAGACAGAGAATTTGGGGCCAAACCAGCCCAAGGTCGGGACCAACAAGCCAGAGCTGGGTGTGAAGGGGCGGAGCTTTAGGGGGAGGGTCTGGGGAGGTTTGGAGACCCCACACAGGGGGTCGATGGCATCAGCATAACCCCAATGAGCAGCACCAGCAGCTTTGGCACAGAAATAGGTGGCGGAATCCTCGTCCCTGAGGTTGTTCATCTGCAGCGTCACCGAGCTCTGCCCGTTGTCCCTGGCCATGCTGAACCGGCCCTTCACCCACGGCGCGTATCTGGTGGCAGCACCATTATAGCTGATCCCAGCGAGCCATTCCAGTCCCTTCCCGGGGCTCTGGCGCACCCAGTACATGGTGTAGTCGCCGAAGGTGAAGCCGGAGGGGCGGCAGAGGAGCCACAGGGGCTGAACGGGGCAGAGATTGGGGTTCAATGGTTGAGATTTGGGTCAAGAATCATGATACGGGTCAATGGTTGGGATTTGGGGTCAATGGTTGAGATTTGGGGTCAATGGCTGAGATTTGGGGTCAATGGT